CGTAGCGGGAATTCACGTATGAAAATACATCAATTGCAGATACAAAGAAATAAACTTTATGGACAAAAAAATTGTTGATGAAATTTCATTTCATTATTCAATATAGTTGCCTTCGAGGGCGATACAACGATCACAACGGTCAAGTTTTTGATCCCATTTTTATAGTACTGTTTGTCTTTAGCCTCAAAATACACTTCAGTTTGAACGATTAATTCTTCATCAACGCTATTTTTCCCAGCGAGCATTCTCCTGAGGTCTGAGAATAAAAAAATGTCGCTGAGGTCCAGATCTGGAGAATATGGTGGATGCGGAAGCAATTGGAATCCCAATTTATACAATTTTGCTATAGTTTTCATTGATTCGTGACACGGTGCATTGTTTTGATGAAAAAGCACTTCCTTTTTCTTCTAATGAGTCCGTTTTTCCGTTACTCCGTCCTTCAAACACTCCAGTAACGCTATGTAATGGTCGCTATGGATAGTTTTTCCCTTTGCAAGGTTACTGGATGGATATTATACCATGTACATCCCAAAATAACGATACCATAACTTTGCTAGCCGACTGTTGCATTTTTGCACGCTTTGCAGTCGGTTCATCACGATCTGGTTCTGTTTGTGTAACCATTATTAAATCTATCAGTGTCGAACTTTTCTCATACACTCTTGTTGGTGAGTTTATGATTTGCGATAGCTCGTGATCGCTAATAAAATTTTCTAAATACTTGCTTGAAAACCCAGTTTCTCAATGAAGCCGATTAGTTTGTATGTTGAGTGGTCTTTCAGGTCGAATGGTAAGAGTACGGCTCTGCCGAACTCTAAAAACCTGATTCGGTCCCCATCAGGGTAGAAACAATGAATGAGCCAAACAAGATTGATGGTAATTTCTTATGCATTGCATAATGTTTGTCACTTTCGGGTATTCAATTACCAACGGTGTTACTCCCACATTGACAAATAATTAATAAAATCATCTGAAATATGAAGTTTCTCGAAATTCGAAGGCAATTACACAATTTTCAATTCGACTTCCATATTCTCACACACCCAATGAATAAATATTACTTATATGCAACTCTGTTACATTCATATGACCCTTTCGATATACTTACAATGCATAAAGACCAGAGTAAAAGGTTGTGGCCTTCGTCTGCTCTTGAACGATTAGACATTTTTTCAATACAGGAATCCATTACACACATATTGTCATTCCAGTATCTCATGGTAATTTCAAGAAAGTAACTTATTCATAGGCGTTATTCAAATCAAATAATGCTGCAAATGTAATTGTTCTTGCTTTTATTGGTATCATGAAGTCACGCTTTAATCAATTAAAATTATCATCCAGTAATCGAACTGATTCTTGAAACCATAAACTGAACGTGTTTGAATTCATAAAAAACACGTGGCGCTGATGGTGGTTATTTCAGCCCTTACAAAACATTGAAAAATGAATAAAAATTCATCAATAGTACATTTTGAGTGGGCGTCAATAATTTTGATATTCTTTATTATGCAGCAATCCTGTGAATGATAATAATAATAATAATAATACTTTATTTTCAAATCTAAAGCAAATGGAACTTCAAACGTTCAAGCCAGTCTCTATATACCTACACAGTAGGTTTAATGGACTGACGCCTATCAGAAAACAACTACTCCCCTGGCTAATACCACGAAGGGCGTTGGATTATATCCGACAGGCGTCAGTGCAGGAATCTTCACAGAAAATGTCCTGCATATGCAATTAGCAATACAACTGAAAGAGTCGACCTTCAATTATGGAACGGGCACACTTGCAGACCGGTTTCGGGCTTATTAGCCACTCATCAGTGCAAGATAGTGACCATCATCGACCTAAAGTCAATGATATTCCACAATTGAAAATCGGAATTCTTTCAGAGTATTTCATTCCTCTTCCTTCTCTTTATTTTCTTAGTGACATACAGAAACAGGTATTGTATAGAATTTGTCAAAAAACAGTAGATAATTACCTGAAAAAAGTGAACTGAAATACAGCAGTTGCTGTATTTCTCGATATTGAAGGAGCATTTGACAATGCATTACTTGAATCTATAGGATCATCTCTGGTCAGGATCGACCACAACTGGCTGGATCTATGCTATGCTGGTAAAAAGAACTGCAACTACGGCTCATCAAGGCAAGGCAATTAGGTTCAGGGTCACCAGAAGCTGCCCTCAAGGTGGGCTACTTTCTCCCCTTCTGTGGTCGCTCCTGATAGATAGTCTTTTTGACGCCCTCGATAGATGAAAAGTGGATCTGCAAGCTTATGCAGATGACCTTGTCATCTTGGCAAGGTCGACGTCGGAAGAGTAGCTTGTAATATTCTCCAAAACGTGATGGACGTTGTTCAGTTTGTGTCTGTAGGAGCAGATGTCTGTCAACCAGTTCACCAGGAGGAGAAAATTGGACGATTTAACGCCACTTTCCTTCAATGATGAGGTCATTCCATTTGGAACGTAGGTGACTTATCTTGGCATTGTCTTCGATAAAAAACTCACCTAGAACGCTCACTTGTAGAAAGTCTAAATTGGTAGCAGATTGCCAGAAAACGACTCTCCTCGATAGGAAGACTTAACAGATTGTCTGTAGTCTGGATTTCTGACCATACCGGTCTGGAAGGCAATGAGGCTGCTGACTCCCTTGCAAAGGAGGGTGCTGCAAGCAGCTTCATCGGACCAGAATCTGTCATAGGCATCACTTTAGGCATTGCCAAACAAATATTGAACACCTGGATGGCAAGAAGATTCATGTACTTCTGGCAGAATCTTCCAGAATTGGCTTACTCCAAGCCGTTTATTCACCCTTCGGAGCTTGATACCAAACAGTTGTTGGACTGCAGTAGGAATGAACTACGATGTCTAATAGGCCACTGTCATTTTAATCAGCATATGCAGAGACTCGGACTGCTGGAAGACAGTGCGTGTCACCTCTGTTTGGAAAATGATGAAACAGCATACTTCGAGTTCAAGTTTTAGAGTTTGACAGAGCTGCACTCTTATCATATGCCCTGAAAGACCACTAACCATACAAACGAATCGGCTTCGTTAAGAAGCTGAGTTCATTTGGTCGAGTGTGAATAGGTCTGAGCCACAATAAACCTTCGCGGGTTGTGGTGGCGGGTGGAATAAACCCACTCACTTTGGACCTAACCTAACCTAACCTAACCTAACCTAACCTAACCTAACCTAACCTAACCTAACATAACCTAACCTAACCTAACCTAACCTATGACTGAGACTCTTTTAAGGAGTAAAACCCGCCTTTCAACAGGTGCTTCCTAAACCATTGTTTGAATACTTTCAATGTTACACATGATTTAATTTTGGTCGGAAGTTTGTTGAACAGCCTTTGCCCAGTTACAGTGGGTGGCCAAGATAAAAGATTAGTCCTTGGAAATGGCGCATGTAGGTCATCTCGCTGTTTTATATCATTAGTGTGAATTTGCTTGTTAGTTTCAAAAGAGTTTAAATTACAAAATACAAAAACACACACTTCAAATATGTAGAGACACGTCAAGGTAGAAATTGATAAGTCTAAAAAAATCTCTACTACTAGAGGATCAACGAATCAACTTTACACATCATTAAAACAAATGGATGACCCCCAATAACACATTCCATATCTTAGTCGGGATTCGACCTGTGTATAATATAACCTGATCAGTTGTTCTCCCGTCAAAAGTGATCCCATTTTTCTGAGTAGATAGTTAACAGAGTGACTCAGAGTGATATCCGATTCAATTCCACAACAAATATTTGGAGTACAAATTGAAAAAGAAAAAACCATCAACAGCGACTATTAGATTGCGTTTTTGAAGCGTTTGAAGGACGAAATTGCAGAAAAACGGCCTTATCTGAAAAAAAGTGCTGATTCGTTAAGACAATGGACCGTGTCACAAATCAATGAAAACAATGGCAAAATTGCATGACTGAGCTTCAAAACCATCGTATTCTCTAGATCTGGCACCCAGCGACTTATTTCTGTTCTCAGACCTCAAGAGGATGCTCGCTGGAAATAAGTTTAGTGCCGCATATGGCAAAGAAAAATGTGTTTCATCAAGACAACGCATAGTGTCACAAGTCAATCAAAACAATGGCAAAACTACATGAATTGACCTTCGAATTGCTCCCACATCCACCGTAT